CTGTTCGATCAGCCGCGACAAGTGTCAACAGTAGCGAATCAGAACGCGCATTGCACCAACGATAGATTGACGGATCAACGGTTTCCGTTGAAATATTCGGTTATACGGTTATGGGACGTTGAAAACGTTATGTACGTTAAAATCTCGCTCGAATCGATTGAAATCACAAAGATCACCACCCCACCTATGTCATTCTCTCGAACAGAGGACCCACTGGTCAAAGATTTACAGGATGTATACCCCCACCCCTCTTAAATGGTTGACACCACTATCATTGAAAAGATACCCACATAGCTGTGAGAAATTATTTGTTCAGTACTAATAGTTTTTCAGTAACATACTACCCTATGACTTTAGTCTAGTTCTGAATGTCGATGACCCCATAATATTCCAAGGACCATCTCCACTACCCATCATGAACATAAAGTACCCTACCACACTCATCCAAAGCTACGTCTACAGGCTAGAAAGATACCACCGGTGAATGAAGTACCCCACCACCTCCCCTCCGCATATTCACCCACCATTTGTACTACATTTCATACCTCAAAAATACCCCTACCCCATCTGATCCAGCACCCTACGAAACATTTCTACACAGTAACCCCTTATTCACCCATCGGTCTCCTACCACTACCCCTAATTTCCCACTCTAGTACCCCTATTTTTCTATCTACCCCACCCTAGAGCCGATTCACGACCCCTAAGTTTTTCACCCCCACCCTCTCCCTAACTTTTTCTGCAGATTCCCCCGGCATGGCAGACGTCGGGAAGAAGCTAGGATGGGACGAGGGGAAGACGAGGAGAATACAGTTGGGTACAGGGATAGCCGGTATCCTCCTCCTCTTCAGCGGCGTCGTCTGTCAATGGTGGGCAGGGAACAACTTCTCCGATGTCTCCCTCTCAACCCTCTGCAATGCATACTCAGGCAAGCCTGACCTGATGGCCAGCGATGACTGGTATCAAGCCAAGCAGGACTACGCGGCGAAGTACTCCTCCTCCTCTTCCTCCCCTGCTGTCATGACCCTCTCGTTCGTTGCCTCCCAGTTCCTCGGCTTCAGGCCGGACGGAAACTATCCACTTAACCAGTTCCTCTACAGCTCCCCCTCTTTCTGGTGCAAGTACCTTCCCGAGTGTCCTGTGGGGGTCCAGTGCGTGGGCAATACAGTCGTGAAGGCTGAAAACTGGACCAGAGGAGCATGGCCGGGAAGGCTCGTATCTAGCGACCCGTACTGGAAGCTTTCGTCCTCCGTCGAAGGGTACAGCGCGACTCGTATCCGTTGCTCTGACAAGGTCAACGTGTACAAGGCCATGCTGACAGCGGTGACTACCGACATTAACGGGAACTTCGTCAAGGATCCTTCCACAGGCGTTACATGGAGCAAGGCTGCTGTGGACAAGGCTGCGGGAGCCCTCCTACAGCAGTGCTACGAGAGCAAAGGCTCGGCCGGTTACATCCTTGCCACAGGTCCTGTGCTTGCTACGTTTGCCAGTATCTTTTGCTTCATGACGCTGTTTCGATGCTTGGGAGGAAGCTACATGTCATCGACAGGACAGGGGATGGCGATCCTGGCTGTGGCCATGACTCTGATCGACTTCTGGGTGATCGTATATCTGACCAACTCGGAGTTCATGCAAGGTTACCTGCTGTGCGGCAAGCTCGGGCCTCCTCTGGTCCTGAGAGGATCCTACTTCGACAGCACCCCGTGCATGGATCAGAACTCGATAGGGCAGGGAGAGTTCAACCCTTACGTCTCCCAGTCCGCGTGGATGACCTCCGTTTACACCGCCGGGGGTGTCTGTAATTTAATAGCGATTGTGCTGCTCCTGATCTCGATCCACAAGGTCAGGATGTTGTTCTTGACTCGTCTCGTGCCTGTTGCTCTTTCATGTCTCTTGTTCTTTCATATGACTTGTTGTTCTGACATGTGACTTGCGGTGACAGAACAAAGAAAATACCAAACTCATGAAATTCGCGACTCTCGGACCAAGGTGAGCAGATCGCATCGTCTTGGCTTGCTTGACTTCATGTCGTCTGACTCTCGTCTTGTGCGTGACTACAGTGATGAACTTTGAGCTACCTATCGCCTCGGCTGAATGTATGTATGTAAAATCGCGGGTTGCATTCTAGAAGAAACAAGTACGACATCCAGAAGCTTGCTCGAGCATTCGCTTTTTCATAAACTCTTTTTGGTGGTATTTTAGTGGAGAAGGTCGACCCTTTAGTTTCCTCTGACTTGCATTCGTATTTACAAGACGTCCCTCAAGCGAGGGCGAGGGAGGATGAGGAGTGCTATCCAGGCATGAGAACTTTGAGCATGAGCAAGACGGCGGCAAGAAACGTTCTTCGGTGTCATTCACAGATGCTCGCATCCTCCACCTTCACTACGGCGCTACACGCCGGCTGAGTCAACTGCTTGAGTTTGCCTGTGGGGCCATGAACCTGCAAGACAAGGGATGGCGATGTAGAATGAACAGGATGAAGAAGATAAATGTGAGGGAAGGGAGGAGGGAGGAGAGAGGAGGGAAGCGTCAAACGGGGATTATCACGATCTTCAAGCTCACCGTCTCGATCTTGGAAACTCCGCCGAGTGAAGTCACTTGGGATGTGCAAGACTCCTGCACCCGCCTGTTCAAAAGCGATGCAGCAGCACAACCCTCCTCACCTGCTGGCTCGGCCAAAACCCCCAGAGAGTGTACACATGGACCTGCTGCGATCAGCGAGGGGGGCAAGGGGCACACGCTCTACCTTAACAGCTGCCGGCACGTCAACGAAGGAAAGAGCGCAAGTCTGCCACACGGGGTGAACTTCATGACCGTCGGGCGATCAGGCCAGAGGCAACCTTGCAAGGGATGTAGAAGGAATCTCCCTTGAGAGTGCACTGATCTCCTTTCTTCCTGTTGCAGACCACGTTCAGAGGGTGGAAGGCATGCCCATGTGATGTTCGGTACATGCAGACTCCGTCCAGGTTGCTGCACCTTCCATTGCCACATGTCGAGTTGCACACGTCTGGTTCGGCAACTTCATCAAGGCAGGGGAGGAGATGCTGCCAACGTTTCTTTCCTCACCTATTCGGATGCAGGTGCTGGAGCTGTAAAGCTCCTTCTGGCACAAGGTGACGTATCTCTTCTCTCTCCTCATCGCTGGGCCCTTGGCAACCACTGGACGTGGGACACGATGCCACGTCACCGAGAGACTCTCAGCCTTGTCCTCGACTTCGTCCGCCGGTTGGAACACGACTAGGACTCTATCCGAGTCGCAGTTGAGGGCAGCTGGAGCGGCGGCGTCGGAACCTCCGGTAATGTTGAGGAGCAGGTGAGAAGGGTCCAGAAGTCGATTCGTCTCTTCCCCGTCCGAGGCATTTGCAGTGAAGACGGCGAGGGAGGAGCGCTCGCTCTGCAGCTGCAACTGGGAGAGGTTGAGGACCACAAGGTAACCTCTTCCGACTTCTACGAGCCAACGGCACGTCGCTGCCTCGCGTCGCAGCACGAGTGAGTTCACCTCCCGAACGAGCACATCGCAAACTCACAGCCTCCTTCTTGATAGACTATGGTCCCGTTCACCCCCGTCACGTTCATCCTTCCTTCGCATCTCCCTCCTCTCTGTTTCTCTGCCTCGACCTGGCAGACCATCTCAGCGCATGGATGGAAGAAGAACGAGGCGACGAAGGAGGATCACTCACAGGGCTATCAGTCGTTGGAGCTGCTGCTGCTGGGACAACATCTGGGAGGGACTTCCAGCCTTCCTGACAGTCCTGGAGGAGTGAGATGAGATCAGTTTCATGAATGCGATCAGATCAGTGTCAGGAATAAGATCAGATCAGCATCGGGGGATAGGCATCTTCTCGAGCAGCAAGACATGCACGCACATCGTTTCCTTTCCCCGATGCTCCAGCTGAGTCGAAACAGAAGGAGGCCAGCGTGAGGCCAGTCCTGGTATTGGAACCTTGACCTTCCTTGTGAGCAAATGCCGGGAAGCGGGAGAAAGTACCTTCGTATGAGGACCAGGCAGCGAGCAGCAGCGTGAACACAAGGCCAAGAGCAAGGGTGAGCACTTTCCGCTTCCAGTCACCTCTGAGGTGCTGATCAGTGGCATGCGTGCCAAACCATGCGCTGTCGTCTTCGGAGCGGCCGTTTAGCATTATGCGGAGTAGCTCCTGATCGGTCTATCGCCTCATGTCTTGGGAGGAGCTCGGCATTGCAGGAGCAACCACTGCATGCTCACGTCACGCACTGTCAGGTCAACGAGCTCAGACACGCTGCTGCTCTCTTCCTTGATCGACTCCTGAACCCTACTGCATAACAGCCTCTACTTCCCTCATCTCACTCTCCCTTCCTCCATCCCTCCCCCTTTCTATATCTCCCGCCACCTCCTTCGCTCCCTCAACTCACTCACTCTGCTCCATCCTCCCGCCCTCACCCGCCTCTACCTCCTCCCCCTCCTCCCGTTCATTTTTGCCAGCATTTTCATCCCGCAAATAGTTTGTCGAAACCCGTTACACGACTGCACATTGGAGTAACGGACTGACCGCCGCACAGTGACAGACTGTCCGGCCCGCCCGGCGGAGCCGCCCCCGGGGGCCGGGCCACCGGGCCCGTTCTGAGTGCACTCAGACTGCCGGTATGGTCCGATAACCGGGTGCGTGCCCGGCTCGTGACAATAGTACTAAGTGAGGCCCGGCGCCGTGCCCGGCAGACTGCCACACGGTGACTCGGGGGCCCGGGGCAGCTTTGAGAACTGAACTTGTTGTCATGATACAAATTGAACAGTCCGATACGGTCGGAGCACTAAAGAGCCTACAGGTACAGCTTATGGGTGATATCGATGGCATTCAGGGGAACGCCGAGGGCTGAGAGCGTCGAGAAGGCGAGAGGGCGGTCGGCAGCTCGTTGGTGGTAGCGAGAGGCGCTGTGAGAGCTCTGCTCCTCCTCGTCCGCCTTCGCGCCCCCTTTGTGCCTCCTCTTCAGCACCGACTTCACCATGTTGACGACTCCGTGCTCTATCACGGCATTGTCGGCCAGCGGCTTGACTCCCATCTCCTTGTACACCCTACTGAAGAAGTCGACCTGGTCCCCCTTGCCCTCTGCCCCCGCATGCTCCGCGGCAAGGTGGATGCAAGTCTGAAGGATGGCCGTCCTGGCCTTCTGGTCCAGCTTCCGCTTCCTCCTCAGCAGGCGAGCAATGGCGTCCATGGGCAGGTCAGGGTGGAGCTCGAGGACATTGAGGAACCAGGTGACCACAAGCTCCTTGGAGGACTCGGTCGAGTCGACCTTGAGGGAGCAGAAAGTGCGGAGCATCTCGAGCGGCCGGATCCTTGACGTTAGCATCTTCTGCGGTAGCCCGAGCTCGATGAAGCCCTGGTACAGTCCGTCGAAGTCTTCCTCCAGCGCCAGGAAGAACCCCGAGTCGATCGGGATGGCGGCGCCGTCAGCCTTGTTGGTCTCGCTCAGCAGCTGCCCCACCACCCACACCACCAGCTCGTCCAGGATGTTCACCAGCACCTTGCGGTAGTACGACTCGAGGAGGTAGACCCTGAACTCCTCGCAGTAGTCGGCGATGGTCGCCACAATGGACTCGCCAGGACGGTCGTCCCCGCTGTACCAGCGGGACGTGAACAGCCGGGCGACTGCTGGCTGCACGTCCTCGAGCACGATCCTCGCCAGCGCCTCCGAGCCGATGCGAGCGATGGAGGTGAAGCCGTCGGCGACTGACTGCAGCTCGATGTTCTCGAAGAGGTGAGAGGACATCTTGTCCTCCAGCTCCTCCTGCAGCTCCATGCAGCACTCCACGCACTTGGCCGAGTTGTTCACCTGGGCGCAGATGTGGTCTAGCGACATCCCCCGCCACTTCTTGGTGATCATCTCGATCAGCGACAGCCGGTAGTCCTCCAGCACGTTGGTGACCGTCATGGCGAGGTTGTACATGGACTTCTCCAGACCCAGGGCATCCGCCACCTCGAACTGCTGATCGATCATCTTGAACAAGTCGATCGGAGCGATGGTGTAGAGCTTCCCGTCGGACATGGACTCCGGGGGGACTTTGAGGTCGTCTTCAAGGATCCGGTTCGCCCAGCCCCTCATCATACTCTCAGTCTGGTAGTTGTAACCCTGGGGAAAGTCAGAGGGCCGTCAGGGGAGTCGATGGAGTAAGAGAAAGTCAGGGTATGTCAGCGGTGTACAGAGAGCAAGATCGAGCACAAAACTACCCCCGACACTCTCACACCTCTGAGACAAACTCACCTGCAAAAGAACGTCCAGATCGTCAGTGAGCACCGGGCTCACCGTCGCCTCCAGTCCCTCCAGCTGGCCGTGGTAGTCTCTCAACCAGTTGACGACCGCAATGATGTCGCTGGGACTGAAGGAGGCAACATGCGTCTGCATCAGATCCTGGACCAACTCGACGGTGAGGGCATGGTAAGTCTCCACGAACAGCTCGAAGATGTGGTAGTGAGGGGGGAAGCATGGTTCAACGACGTCCTGAGGACAAAGTGAGTTGAGTTAGCAAGGAGCGAGCGAGTGGGACCTTGACAGTGACGATGTCATCGGAGATTTTCTGGTGCTCCGACACCTTCAAGGCATGCCATCAGACGCCTCGACGGGGCGTCGACTTTCAACACTCACCAGCAGCGGGATGTCGACGACAGGCATGCTCGTCAAGGATAGGCAGAGCATGTCAAACTTGCTCCTCATGTACTCCTTCAAGGTCGAGATGATCATCCCACACCAGCTCCGCACCTGCTGGGGGATGAGACGGGCACCTACCGCGGTTTCCGAGCTCTCACCTTGGAGCTCGACACGTCCACGTTGGACGGCGACTGCCCGTGCATGGCGGTGCGAATCTGCTCGTCAGCTGCTTCTTGCCGCTCCACCATCTGCAGCACCTGCAGCCATCATGAGTCAAGATCTTGCCGTCTCAGCGCGCAGTCGGCGTCAAACTTTGACAAGCACAGCAGGCCGGGCCCAGGCTTCGACGGTGCAATTTCGAACGATTTGACAGACCCTGCTCTCGATCCGCTCGAAGAAGCTGGAGCAGCGTCACTCGGAGGCAACCCTAGTGCTCCTCCAACCGGTCCAAGTTCGAGAACTGCTCAGAAAGAGCTCTGAGTGTAACCAGTCAGGCCGGCGAAGCAAGAGGCAACAGGACCCACTGATGTTTCTCCGGCACATTCCTTGCAGAGAACAGAGCAGCCTTCAATTCAACATCACTCACTCCCGCTCCCATCCTCGGGCAAGACCTGCTGACGTCTCTCCAGCTGCAGTAGCCTCCTGTGCACGTCTGGGAGGGCACGGTCGCCGTCCTCCGAGTCGTCAGGGCTCTGAGCAGCCCTCTCCAGCTGCTCCTCAACCAGCTTCAGCTCTGCACCAGTGTGAGTGACCTGTTGGGACCCCAGGAGAGGAACCGGTTGGCATGGCTTTGATCAGGTCCAAGTCTTGTAAGGTCCTATGCAGATTCCTTCTGATCAGCCATACTTGACGGATCTCGCTGTACTCAGGCAGAGCCGTTTCGCTCTGAGTAGAAGAAGGAAATAAAGAACAAGAACAAGAACAAGAACAAGAACAAGAACAAGAACAAGAACAAGAACAAGAACAAGAACAAGAACAAGAACAAGAACAAGAACAAGAACAAGAACAAGAACAAGAACAAGAACAACGTGTCAGGGTTGCAGAAGAATCAGGAGACGAAGACCTGGTCAATGATCGCCTCCAACTTCTCCTTGATCCCGATGATAGTGTCAACCTGTTTTCGACTATGTTCGAGCCGATTCAGGCCCTTCGTCCGAGATCGTCAGCGTCCACCAGGGAGCCAACAGAAACTCACCGTCCTAGCATCCTCTGTCTGCCTTCCTGTCAACAACGAGATCTGGACCTCAACGGAGGATCGCTGTCCTTCATACTCTTTCTTGAGCTTTCCTAGTCTGCTCAGATTCTCGGGTGTGGCCAGCAGTGCTGTGAGCTCTCTCACAGCAGCAGCGTGCACTTCCTCTGCGTCTACCTCCTGATCCTGCCCGTGAGCTTCCCCCCCCTTCTCTCTTCCCCCTCCATCCTGCTGGCCATTCGTCCCCTTGCCCTTCCCACGCCTCCCCCACCATGACATCGGTCTCAGGCCTCTGGGGCAGACTCGGAATGTTTTTTTATCACAATGATTTGATCAACCGAGCCCGGCCGGCCCAGTGGGCCACGCGGCCGGGCCGGGCCGGGCCGCCGGGCCCGGCGGCACTGCGCCGCCGGAGCCGCGGAGGCGCCTGATCTTGAATTTCCTTACCTCTGTTCAGGTGGACGCGCAGGAGATTTTGACCAGGATTCGGAGCCGGTTCGCAGGGGTTGTGACTGTACTCACTGTACTGTGACAGATCGAGACAGCAGACGCCTTTGCTACAGCATCGAGGAAATATTCGAGCAGGCCATATGATGAGGCCAATTTGAGTGCCGTCCACCAAACAAAGCGAGTGCCAAGGCCATTTTTACAACCTCATGCCCATAAATGCTAGGGCAAATTGAATTGACAACCAACTTGAATGTATCAGAGTCATTGGCAATTTCCCTTAGTGCTTTTAGGTCTTTTGAGGTGAAAACGAGATTGTCACTCTGCAAGGATAAATCAGTCTTTTCAACGCATCAACATATTTGCAGATGGTCAGACCTTGTCTCCGGAAGCCTTCTTCGAATTCGAAATAGAGTTGGCTTCTATGTACATCAAGAAGAGACATTTGCTCTTTCCTCGATGCCCACCATCACCATCTGTACTCACAACTTTCACGATTCCCGATATTGCAATCTCATCTCCAGGAATACATTTCTCAACCAAATTATCGGTAAGCTCACACTCTATTGTCCTCGTCATCCTCCCATCTTCCCGGCTCTCATCTGTCACTATTTCTTAAAGTCTTACCTTCTGCCAGTCTGTGGTGATGGAAGAGTGTCTATCAGGAATCATCGATTTGTTCTTACATACCAAGCAAGACCCAGGACAGTCGAACTTGCCATCATTCATCGTTACCGTTTTTTCTCCTCTGCACTTTGCACAGAGAAAGTTCATCGAAAGCAATATCGGTTTGATGGTGCTCACGCGAATGACCGTTCCCCGCACGCAAACAAACTTTCCAATGCAGTTGGATTTGAGAAACTTCATTGGCGTCACTGGCTCATAATTCATGAATCGAACTGCAACTTTTCTCGATGGAGGAGGGTACAAGTCTTGGCCATCTTCAACCCCTTGATCACTGACAAAGAGGGATTCAAACACTGCCAGTCCGAGAGCCGCGATGGCTTCTTGCGGCCTTTCATTGATAGCCCATGACAACCCCTCGACGGGGCATTGGAGCAACTCGTTGTATTCAAAGGATACTGAGGTCAAATTCTCGGGATCAATCTGCGTACGGTGCAGAGAGAAACTTTGATGCTTTCAACCAGCACCGCAATACATTTCTCAACGTTTTTCTCCCAGGCCCACGGAACCACCTCGTTAAGCCTTGTATAATTGGAACAAGGTGATGGTCCTGCTTGAAGGTCAAAGCACGTGAAGATGGTGCAGTTCGCTCACCCTAGTGTAGCTCTCTTGCGGAAGATACAGATCCCAGCCTCGAGGTGCTGCCATGGCCTGGCTATTGAAAGTCATCGATCTGAGATATACCCAATGACGCTCTCGACGGCATTCGATTGGAAAAGATGTTGTACACCTTGTCTTCCTCAACCCCACTCCACCACCTGCCCCTCCGTCATCACAAGCATGAAACTTACGATCACTCCTGCTCAACGCGCCACAGGAGCCATTTGGCGGGAATTCTGGGCAGAATTCTGGGGAGTTCAGCAAACCCGAAGGCCCGGCGCTGCCCGGAGCTGAGCACGGAGCCTCGGAGCAAAAGTGTTGAAGTAAACTGGGTGATGTTTACTCCAGGGTCCTTGAATCCTGTGTGGCAGAGGGGGTGGGGTCCTTTACCGCCCAGGTTGTTTGAAGCCTGCAGCCGCTCATCGCCACCCACGTTCAATTAATGTTGTGTAGCACTAATAATCTATCGGTAGGGTTAGTGGAAGCCTACCGCACTGCAGCACGTGAGCGGTCACGACATAGCCAGGGAGTCAAAGGTGGGGTGGGGTACTTTAACTGTCACTCGTGTTATGGTGCTTTTGCTATAAAGGTTTTAAATAGGAAACAGTCAAAACAGCCCCTGGCCCTCAGGCAGGAGGGGAGGAGTGACACAGGGCGATGGCTAGGTCAGAAAGCAATGCGGTCGGATTCAGGCGGCAATCATAGTGCGTATGATAGCATGCATACTGGCAGTAGGTATTAGAGTTAGGCACTAGGACGGAACTGCTGAGCTGAGATGCTGATGAATCTTGCTTTGCTACTTGAGAACTCCATTGTCAACCTGTAAGTGGGTCAGTGCGTTTTCAATCTGTTTTGAGCCGGGTACGTCGCACTCTTTGGAATAGGGCTTGTAGGGTCGCTTAAAGGAGCTGTGCTACCACGAGGATATCTGATTCAGGTCCTGATTCAATCAATCAGCCTCTGCGTGCCCTGTTATACTGTTGCAATGAAAGTCGCCGAAGCCCAACCCTTGAATTCTCGACAACTGTTGTTGCAGAGCATAAACTTCATCAGGAGCAAGCTCCTGGAGGCAGCTCCTTTTGAAAATGAGCAGATGGAGCTGAAGTATCATGACTACTTTCTCCAGTCTCTGGTGTGTATAGAGAATGTAGGTTTGACGGCGAGTATGGTAGTAACTACTGTGTACCACATTGGCATTCTAAGTATGAGGAACAGCGAAAAGGGCATCAGCAGCTTCGATGATTACTTGTTTGTGCTACGCTTCTTCGTTCTGATTGGCGTCTGGATCGGAATGTTCTTGACTTCGCGCATGTCACAAAGCCAAAGGATCTCGTTAGCTATCCTGCTGAAGCGAGTGCTGTATGTGAGATTTTTTGTCTTTATGACGGAGCTGCTCATGATGAATCCCAACCTTGAGCATGTGAAATTGATTTCGCTCGTCTTGTCCATGGTGTTCCTTGTGGGTTCATACTCTTACAGGGAGCTCATATTCTTCAATGGTGCTTTGGCCTTTGCAGGACACTTGTCAAGGATTTTGATCCACAGGACTCCCCAGTCATTGCAAGCAGAAATTGAGAATATACTCTCCTCGACATTGTTATACCTCTTCTGCATATGTCTGTTTGCAGTCTTTCAAGGAAATAACCGTGCAAGATTTCTCCAGCATCATGCCTGACACTTGGAAATTGATGAAATGAACATCGATGAGTCATGGATGCCTGAATTCTTGAAAGAAATTTTCCTCACTGACAGGTGCAAGCCAACATGTGCGTTGGAGCTCGCTTGACACAAATAGTATTCAGCCTTGTCAATTTTGAATGCTCACAGAGCATGTACGGGGAAGTGGACCCTTTGGAGACATCCTTGGGTTGATATTGCTCAACTAGGTACAAAGCGCTGTAACTTGAAGGGCTACGCGTAGCCTGAACAGCTTCCGCCTCTTCATCGTTGGATACTAAGTCACAGTTGTCAGTGTATTTTGACCTTCGGCAACTGAGCCGACTCGAACGGGTGAAGACTGATGATGCGGATTTTCCTACGGTACTGAGTACTTCAAAACCATCATCTAGTAACCGTGAGTGGCTGCTATAAATGATGAGTCACGGTGCGACTTTGTCAATCACGGTCAAACTTCTGAGTGACTTCAGCTAGCCTCGAGGCTGCACGAGCCACAATAAAACTCTATCGTGTCGGACTCCGTGAAAACTGCCAACCGTCTGATGCCCGGGCCAGTCAGCCTGCCCGGCCAGCCTGACTCAGTGAGTCACCGTCACGTAGCCTAGTACTCCGTGACAGGCACTGAGTCACTGAGTCAGGAGGCCGCGGCGGCCCGGCCCCCGGCCCACTGGCAGGGCGGCGCCGCGGCGTGACCGACGGTCCGATCCGATCGGAACGGGCCGTGCAACGACGGTCTGCCGCACTGTGGCAGTTCGGGTGTGGCAGCCTTCTACAGATGGTATCATGATGCTCGATGCCACGGAAACTTAGACCGTACCGTACTGCGCCCGGGGTCACTGACCGTCACCGTCACCGTGATCGGACGCCGTGACGCCGCCCGGGGCCGGCCGCTGCCGGGCCCGAGAGGACTGAACACAGTAATTTATGTAACGGCTGTAACGGCGATGCAGAAGCAGAGATCATGGCAGGGCAGGTGAAGGAGCTCGAGCGCTTCATGCGGACAACGAAGAAGCTGCGAGGGATGGTGGGGGAGCTGGTGGGGGAGCTGGTGGGGGAGAGACTCAAGACAGAGAAGTCCAGCTCGAGCTTGAAGGAAGCGGCAAGGATGTGTGTGGTCAAGATGGCAGAGGCCCAGTGCGCAAGGCCAACAGGGACGCGCCCGAGGCAGCCGACCGGATGCTCTCGGCCGCTGAGGCAGAAAGGATCAAGACAGATCAAGTGAGCCAGCAGGTAGAGTACTGTCTACACAATTCTTTGTGAGAACAGAGCATCTGAATGATATAGTCTCTTGTTATGTATTGATGTGCCGTCCGTGATCTCTTTGGAGTTGCTAGCGTACGACCCAGTCCGTGCGGCTCGCTGTTGTGTACACCTCTCAGCAGAACACTTGGTCTGATGATAACGTATTCAGCTTCAAAACCTCCAGTATCAGAAAATCCATCTCAGCAGAGAGTTGCAGGTGTGCTTGAATTACAAGGGCCATGCATGTGAGGGCTTTGAATTCCCGTGGATTGAAATGACCAGGATCTCCCCAGTCGATGACTTGATATCTGAAGAAGATTTTGAAGAAATGACAACCCCTGAAGAGCGTGGAGGGCCTCGCGGGTACTGTGCTGGATGACGACAGCAAGGCTTTAGTGACGGAGACTAGGTCTCACGAGTACGAGCTGAATCGTTTGAACAAAGAGCACAATCAGAGGGAAGAGATGATCAAGTCTTTGAAACAACAAGGTTCATCGTGTGTTTGATGGAGGCTTCTTGTAGCTGAAAAGCTGCGTCGAAGAACTTCGCAAGCAATTGTACGAGGGCAAGCTGACTTCCCAGCGGAAGTTTCTTGACGGATTGCAAGGTTTTGAGCTTGTCACTATGTTTGTACTTGGAAGCTGATGGCGCTACAGCTCATCTCGATGCGATCTACAATGTTGCAGAGCCAGTGAGGAAGGAGTTCAACAAGTCAGCGCCCCTTCCCTCCCTGCACTCGGACTTGGCTGCGACAGCATCGTTATTGCCTAGCCCTCTGTACTCGATATACTATCAGGTGACTCCGGCTCGTTACCTGTGTCTCCTTCGGATTGGTTACGATTGTGCGGCCAAGGCTCATTCGTATGATGTTGCGTTCGGAGAGGATGTGAAAGTGAGCATCGAAGGCGACTTAACTGAGGCTTATGAAAGCGCAGGTGAGGCAAACCTTGTTGCAAGCTTCCTTGTTGACATGGTCTCGGCAGGCAACTGCTGTTCCTCCTACTCCTGGGACAGATGGAAAGAAGCGAAGGTTGTGTTGTGCTGGAGATTTGCTGGTGACTGAAAAGCGGTTTTTTGCAGGAAAAAGAAGAATAATGATATGGAGGAAAATGAAGAAGGATCCTTGACAAAACCACATCCGTTGTTCTTGAAGCTCAGAATTCCCCCGAAGGCAGACGATTCTCCATCGGCTGCTCCAACGATTACTCTTACCTTCTCGTATTTGACAACGCTACAGGTCGTACCTTTCGAGATGAACCTCAGATGACCATGCCTTGTACTGACTGGTTCTACTCCACAGATTGTGGTTGTTCAGCATGAGCTCAGCTCCAAGGAGAAGGAGCCCTCCTTCCTCCAAGACCTCTTTTCTAACGATGTGATTCTGCTTGTCCTGCTTGTCCTAGACGTTCAACATTGACACTTCAACGCAGTCAGGAATCTACTCTCCACTGGTCGCAAACGACTACCTGTAGATTAACATCATCACTCGTCGTCCTCGGGCATTGAACGATCCCAACAGTCCCGGACGACCATACAAATGGGCGCAGGTGAGGCATTGAGTTCTTGGCTATCCCTCTGACTCTGCTTCCTCTTCCAGACTATAGGATGCATGACCTTCCCAGCGAGAGACTCGGGCGACAGCAGCAACATCAAGGCTCCGTTGGTATGGGCGAACAAGTTGGGTGCAGTTTTCAATGATGCCACCTTGCAGCTCCGGGACTCGGGGATCACCTTCTCTAAGCTCGTGAAAGCGTTGCGAGAACGTTGCTTGGTGTGGACACAGGTACTGGGAGAAAAGCTCGAGCCACCAAGATGACACATGCGCTGCAGGTGAAACAGATGATGCAAGAGCTCGCCAAGATGAACAACAAGGATCTGCCAAAAGTTCCTGGTTGCGAAGCCTTGACAGGCTCGGGGGCAGCCCTCCAGGGATAGAAAGAGGTCTTTCGGATTACAACTCCGTGCTGCATGTGTTGATGGCACTCAGGTGACGTCGGAGTTCTTGGAGATCTTTGTCGAGAATGAAGAGGTGGAATAAGGGGCAGGTAGCAGACTCTTAGTGGCAGCACTGCAGGAGGAGAAGGAGCCCGAGAAGATGGTGCTTGAAGGCATCAACGAGGAGGGAGAAGTTGTCTCATCAAAGGTGAGGAGGAAGAAGTGGGGAGTGTGTTTTGGGTGGATGGGTAGGGGGGATGTCAAGGGAGATTGGTGAATGGTATCGAAATGCTGTATCCTTACGCTGGTTCAGCAGGCAGAAACTACAGAAGATGTGCGAGCAAACCATGGATAATTCACGTCATTTCTTATGGCTGTTGTTATACAGGAAGTGTATCACGCAACAGACAAGGAGGAACGCAACATCTCTCGCAAGCTATCCCTTTCCTCCCTCCTCACTTCTTCCTCTCGGCTTATCGCTCGGCAGGACTTGCCAGGACTGTCACTGATGACCCTGGGCAGCGCATAAGAGAACAATGAAAAAGAGGTGTAAAACAGTAACAGACAATACTCGCCCGTGACTCAGGGCTGAGGGTCGGCGTGGACGGTCAGACGGTCACCGGCCGCGGCGTAGCGTACGGCGTAGGTATGCGGGTGCGGCCGTCACGTGCGGCCGCGCGTAGTGTGAGACGGTGCCCTGAGCCGCCGAAGTTAATTAACCGACTCCGGCGACGGTCACCGGGTCTCGAGCAATGATTGCTTGGGGGATCGGACCGGGATCTGCATCATAGCAGCTTTCATTGATCCTTTACTCAAAGTTAAGTTAAAGATCAGTACGAGGACAATAATATATTGATCATGATCCAAAATTTTGGGAAACGATCAGGGTACCGTTCATGGCGCGGGGCCGTGCCGAGGATGATGCCAGCACGTGACCGTGAACGCGGTGTGGCCGGGGTCACGGTGGCCCGGTCGTCCGGCGACGTTTACCGATGACGAACCGGCGTTGCCAGGAAGTTGCGATTTGAGGAGACTAACGCAGACCAAGTTCAATTTCATTCTGGTACTAATATTAAGTCAACTCGCGCTCGACGGTCGAAAAAGCAAGTTGATTAAAGGGGCCAAAACGTTACTAGGCTGAAAAAAGACTCATCAGTGTAGTAGTAGTGGCGGCCCGGTAGTAAGAAAATAACTAAAAGCCTCTCGGTAAGCTCCGAACCATCCGTCCATATTGCCAGCCAGAGCCTGTCAGCCTCCCCGGTACCCAGCTGTTTACTTAACTCAACCCGGGTGACCCCAAGTTGTTATTACTCAACTTTGAGCCTCCGGGACCTAATAAGTTGATTACTCAACCCCCCGGAAAAAAAAAGGACCTAAAATTGAATTATCGAGCCCCCGTCAGCGGCTGGTTCCTCATGCTCTGGACGACCCCTAGGTGGGCCCGGAGGGTGGTTGCCGGTCAATAGGGGGGGTGGGGTAATTGAGTATCATTAGTCAACAGTTTCGGAACGGCCCCAGAGCCGAACCGGGTAGGGTGGTCAGGGCCGTGGGGTACCCATCCGAGGTCCTTAAAAGCCCTGGGAAAGGAGGGGGTGGAGTGAGAGGGTCTGGGGGTGGAATCGGATAATTTGACCGCAGAAAAAAAGCCTGGGCGGGGGCTGGCCTGTTGGTCGAGTAGGTCCGCGCAACTGGGCGGGAACAGGGAGTGGGGGAATACCGTAGGTGGGAGAGGAGGGGGAAGGAGAGGAGGAGAAAGCAAGAGGTGAAAACAGAAGATTGAACTGTAGAAAGTTTAGATGAGATGATGTCAGTGATGGTTAGTAACATTCTAATCAACACTTGTCTGCAAATGCATGAACTCTGTAACAAGAAAAGGTTGTAATACGTGCATCCTTACGACAGGAACAGGAGCGCTCCAACTTTATCGATGATATCCTTGTCATCCTCGTTGCACGACGAGATACACTGAGGATTGCTCTCTTATGATGATGGATCAGCAGAACATTTCCATGCAGGATCCAAGTTCGCCCTTCCCCTTGAATACCACATCATGCCCGCCTCTTACGGAGTGGATGTCACCCCATGTCGCGTGCTACTATCCCTATGTCAACGGAACAAGCAGCGCAGAAACAAGTTGTGGTCATGCGCGCATGACGGACCTGCAGCAGGACACGCAAGCTCCATGCCAACTCCATCTTCCAGTCACTGGTGAGTGTCAACAGAGCCTCGTCAATCTTGCCGATCCATACGTCAACATTTCAGAGAATGTGTACATATCAGGGCATGCACATCAAGACTTCCTGTCTGCTTCCCAGAGCGACATGCTACCAGCATACAACGATGCTTGCAGACAGGACGCGTGGGGCCAGCATGTCTGGAGAGAGGGAGACGAGACTTGTCACAATGGCACAACTCCGGGAGATCTGACGCCTGCAGGTCATCCGACCACCTCAGCAGGAGGACTCAGCTGCGACAGACCGTCGTACGGTCAAGTGGTCTTAATGCCCTGCGGCCTAGACGATGGGGCGCGGCTGAGCTACGCGGGGGTAGCCATGCTGGGCCCGCCGAGCTCTCTTCCAGCAGACGTCCAGCAGAATGCGACGGATGTGGTAGCACAAGACTTGCAGACAGATCAGACCTTCAGCTACCTCCCAGCCAGACAAGCATTCTCACAAATGCCTGAGGAACATCCTCGAGAATCGTCAGATGAAGAGCTGGCAGGGTTCTCTGCCGCGATGGTCTTGAATGGCGACATCTCAGGCTCCACAAGGAGAGAAGAGGAGTCGCGAAAATTGGAGGAGGCGGCTGGAGGAGAGGAGGCGGATGGAGGCCCCATAGTGATAGTCTGCGCTCGGAAGGGCAGTTTGACTGGAAAGAACAAAGTGGAGATCAGCTACGAGACTCTGTCTAGTCACTTCGATCAGAGCATGCAGGAGGCCTCGAAGAAGCTGGTAAAGTTCTTGACCCCTCATCCTTGCTCGCTCGGGACCTGACGTGCTTGCCAGGGGATTGGCAAGTCTACGTTGAAAGTTGTTTGCAGAAGACTGGGGTTAGAGAAGTGGCCTTACAAGCACGTTGGAAGGAGGAGGAGAAGGAGCACGATGGTGCACCCACCGCCGGTGCGTGTGAGAGTCCGAGAGTTTTGCGCTTAACTTCATCATGCCCGGGATGATGTGACTGACTCCCGAAGTACAGGTGGACTTCGATCTGTCTGACATCGAGTTGGATGAACCGGGAGACCAGCCTCCGAGCCGAGATGAACTCTGAGACCTCGAGGCTTCACAAGGTGCAGCGGCACATTCAACGGCCGAACCGATCAAGGGCCTTGACTCGGATCGGACTCAGACGCGGCGTGACTTAACTTCATGATACGGAGTCCGCCCGGACTCCGGCAGTGATTATCAGTGAAACTTGAGTGACTTGTACACTTATCCCACTAGCCCCGGGGGGCAGCCTGGCTCAGCGGCTGTCTGATCACCGTCGGGCCGGGCGCCGGGCCGCCGGGCCCGGTCCTCTGCCCGCCCCTTCAATTCTATCGACGTTACACAAGAATAACCGTCGACCTGCCGTTGGCGCATGGCGATCGGGCAATGAAGGAAGGGAGGAGGAGCGGAATGGAGGAAGGGAAGAAGCTTCCTTCGATCAGGCCTCCCTCCTCCTCCTCTCATCCTTCAGGTCTACCAATCTCTTCCTCTCTCTCCTCACTCTCTCGCTCGTCGTCGTCGTCGTCCTCCTCCCTGCCATCGGGAAGGCGGCACCAGGCAAAGGAGACCCCGCGTGGTACCGTGCAGGTTGAAGAGAAGGGGCAGCAGAGTCTGCAAGAGCTACAGAAAGAGCATGCAAGAAGGAAGGAGGCGTTTGATCAGCTGCTCGAGAAGTATTCCAACACTGAGAAGCGGCTGGACGAGGAGATTGAGAAGAACAAGAAGCTGAAGAAGAAGGCGGAGGAGCTGGAGAAGAGTGCGCTTGCCATGAGCAAGGAATACGATCTGATGAAAGATGAGATGCTCAAGTCGACGGCCAAGGACAGGAACCTTGCGACGCTGGAAGCCGCGCTGCATGAAGCGCGCGAGCATGCGAAAACCTCCAAGAGCGCCTTGTCGGTGTTGGAGCAGGAGTTGTTCAGCACCGCAGAGAAGATGAAGGAGACGAATGCAAAGTGTCAAAGACTTGAAGATGATGTCAGAAGCAAGCAGGAGAGGGCGAGGAAGTCTGAGGAAGAAGGGAGGAAGCTTACGATTCAGGTCAAGAAGTATGAGCAGGACCTGGCGATGTTCCGTGGCAGGGTGGAGGCGCTGGAAGGAGACAAGTTGCGATACGAGAAGGAGATGTCTGTGATGCAAGATAAAATGTCAGTGTTGCAGTCAGAGAAGAACAGTCTCAGCCAGAGCCTTGAGACCTTGCAGAGATCCAAGGACGACAGCTTCAATGTGATAGGGGATCTGAACAAACAGCTGCAGCAGGTGAAGAGCGAGAGTTTATCACTACAAAATGCGATGAAGAAGTTGAGGGAAGAAGAGCTTGTTCCAACACAGCAGACGTGCACGAAGCTTGAGGCGATGTTGATACATACCAGAAGCACACTGGAGGGAAAGGTATCCGGGCTAGAGAGGGAGGGAGAGGCGTTGAAAGTAGAGTTGGAGAGGACAAAGAAAGATTTAGGTGAGAGGACTGGGCAGCTGATACAGTCAGAGCAAGAAGTGAAGGGACGAGACGCTGTCATCGCCTCACAAGCGCAGGAGCTGAGTGCTCTGACGGAAAGGATGCAATTTGCCGACAAGAAGATGAAGGAGGACGAGGAGAAGATTAAGGGGCTGACGGAGACCTTGCAAAATTTGAGCTCGGACAGTCGAGATAGTCAAGACCAGGTGATGATGGCGATGATGATGGTGATGGTGATGGTGATGGCGATGGTGATGGCGATGGTGATGGCGATGGTGATAGTGGTAATGCTGCTGATGGTGATGGTGATGGTGATGGTGATGGTGATGATGATGATGAAAATTGATAATGATAGTTCCGGAGAAGGAGTTGGCGATGGTGATAGTGGTAATGCTGCTGATGGCGCTGGTGGTAGTGATGATGATGATGATGATGGTGGTGGCACTCAACTGAGTTTCTTGCAGAATCTGAAGTTGCAAGCAATGTTGGCGGAGAAGACCGAAGCACTGGGCAAGTTGCTTGAGGAACAGAAGAAAGACAAGGAAGAGAAGGAGCGATTGAGACAGCAGGTATCAGGACAAGTTGTCGTTTTTCATGAGTGAGAATGTGTAAGGCGGAGGAGAGCGCGAAGGAGCTAGCGAGGTCGAGGAGTGAATTAGACAAGGCGAACATGGCGACTGAGAGGTTTGTAGAGTCTTGTCGGAGCCGTTGACGTTGGGCTGACGGTGGGATGCAGCTCGAGGAAGCGAGTGAGAGAGCTTGAGGCCGAGGTGGACAGGGCTGGGAAGGAGGAGAAGGCGCGGAGGGAGCAGGAGGAGAGGAGGAGGCAGGAGCAGGAGAAGTTGATCAAGTCCCTACAAGAGGAGAAGTCGGCTATTGAGAAGCGAGCCGCTGACCTCGGACGAACTGTAGAAGAAGTGAGGAGGAGGAGGAGGAGGAGGAGGAGGAGGAGGAGGAGGAGGAGGAGGAGGAGGAGGAGGAGGAGGAGGAGATCCTGATCTGTGAGGTGCAGATGTCAAGGGAGAAGAAGGAGATGGTGGGCTCCTTGAAGCGGCAGGAGGAGCAGATCGAGAGTCTGCAAGCAGAGAAGAGGAGGAGAGAGGTCAGATCCCCTGCGCTCGAGGCCTCGAGCATACTGACTAGGGGGGGGCACAGGAGGAGGAGGATCACTGCAGAAGGAAACTGCAGGAGGAGCTGGACAGGGCAACGCAGATGTCAAGGGAGCAGAAGGAGAAGATAGAGGAGCTAGAGCATGTGAATGGGAGGTGTCTATGTGCTGGAGGGATGCTGAGGGTGGGGGCAGGGAGTTTGCTCGGGCCAGAGTGAGAAGATGAAGATCGAGACTAAGCTGGCAAGCGTTCAGGATGAACATGTGAGGAGACGAGTGTTTCGTGGTTCTGATGTTGATGTTCAGTGTCATCTCGGTTGTGGTTGTGGTTGTTTGTCTTTTTTTTTGTTTGTTTGTTTGTTGTGATTGATTGATTGACTGATTGATTGATTGATTGATTGATTGATTGATGATGATGATGATGATGATGATGATGAGGATGATGTCTTCATCGTCTCCCTTCCACCCTACTCTGTGTGATTCTTTATATTCCGCAGAGCAAGATGGTCAAGGACATTCGTTACCTGCAGGAGGAGAATCGCTCGCTGGCGGAGAAAGTCACCTTTGTAACACCGGAACAGCAGCCTTCAACCTCCTGCTGATGCTTCTTTGGCAGCTGATGGAGAAGACGAAGGGGATAGAGGAGGAGCTGCGAGCAACTAAGGAAGAGAAGACGAGGGAAGGGAAGCAGTTTTCCTCCGAGATCGCCAGGATCAGCGCACAATTGCAGCAGGAGGTACTTTGACCTTGACGCTGGCAGCGGGAGGGAGGGGCTGACGTGTGCTGGGGCAAGACGAGGAGGTTTGAGAAGGAGCTGAGCAGCGCCGAGGGCTGGCTGAAGGAGAAGGATGCCAAGCTGAAGGAGGCGGAGAAGGCGCAGGAGGGCTTGAGGTAGAGCTCAATTTCTCTGTGATTGTTTGCGATCCTGTCTTCACCGGTGGTACTGCCAGGTCAGAGATGGAGAGGATGCGGGAGGTCTGCGGCAAGGTGGAGCAGCTGGAGAAGCTGGTGAAGGTGTTTGCATCCTCCCTGCGGTCCTGATGGGATGGTAGGTCGAGAACAAGGACAAGTGCATTCAAAGAAGCGACACGATTATTGAAAGGCTCATGAGCGAGAATGCAAGTTTGAAGGGCGAGAAATGATGGAGGAGGCGGCAGCGAGAGGATAGTGAGTGTGTTTGGACGAGGAGGAGGACGAGGAGGAGGACGAGGACGGCAGGGAGGAGGGGAGGAGGTGTCAGGAGTCAACAAGGAGGAGAGAGCAGGAGGAGGAGGAGAGTTTTCCTGACTCCCTGCTCTGCTTTCAAGTCCGCATCCGCGTCCGCAGTTTTGCTCCTTACAGGGGCTTGTACATCTATTCAGTGTTTGTAATCATAGCAAATCTTGTACATCAACACAAATGTCGTGCTTCACATTACTCTTCATGCAATCTTGTTTCTCGACATCGTCTTTTAGCAACGAGTCTCCCTCTATCATTTCCCTTCTTTCTTCCATCGTCCATCAAATTTCCTCAATTTCCATGCGTCGTCTCCACCCTTCTTCCTCCCCTTTCTATCCACAGCCTCTTCCTTTCACGTCAACACCCAGTAATTTCTCCCTCTCCTCCTCCTCCTCCTCCTCCTCCTCCTCCTCCTCCTCCTCCTCCTCCTCCTCCTCCTGCCTCTCACTCCTCAATCTCATCACAAAACACTCCAAAGTTGCTCGATGGTGAGATTTTCCTGAAGGCAATCATATCAGCCTGTCGTTGTGCTTTCCCCTCTTTCTCACCGGCAACGTTTCGACGGCAAGACCGAGATGGTCATTGTATACAGGATCTCTGAAGATAGATGATCACCTAGTGCAGCAGGAAGAGGAGGAGAGGGAGGAGGAGGTGAAGGAGGAGAGGGAGGAGGAGGAGAAGGAGAGATAGGGGGGCGAGAAAGAGCGAAAGGAGGAGGAAAGAGAGGAGGTAGAGGAAGGCAGGAGGATGAGGAAAGGCAAGGAGAGGAAAACAAAGGCATCGAAAACGGGAAATGAAGGAGGAAGGGAGCGAGACGAAAGCTATGAAAGCTGTTCCTCATATGACATGAGGAGGAGCGCGGGGGCGGAGGTTCCCTGAGCCGCAGCAAGGGATACAACAACGTCCTTCACCTGTCAACTCCCTGTGACCCGTCGGTGCAGTAGGCAGCAAGAGCGTCATAGTTGGCTGCGGCAGACAGGCACCACCGTCACAGCTCAGCCTCACAGACGTTGATCCCATCACCTTCATCGTTGTCGATGATTTCCACGTCGTCGACCACCCGCTGGACCTGCGATGATGTCTCCTCTCAGCACGACGACGCGGGGTAGTCAGCTTCCTACTTGCAGGTCCTTCAGCTTCGGAGCCTGCTCCTCGACGATGTACTGTTGAAGACGAGCTCATGTCAGTGAGCGCTGCCCCCACAAGCTCCTCACAAGCTATCATGAGTTCCCGCCCCCCATCCCCATCGCCCCATCTCATCTCATCTCATCTCATCTCATCTCATCTCATCTCATCGCATCGCATCGCATCTCAAAACTTACCTGCACACCATAGATGGGCTCAGTGGAATAGGTCTCATACAAAGAAGTGATCTGTTCAAGAAGCGTCAACCAACATCTCCCGGGTCCCCGCAAGGGCAACCAACCTCCTTCATGACGATGGCAAGTTTCGGAACCGGAGGATCTACCCGGAATCCGAGCACGTATGACCCGCTCCGTTGTCTGGGAGCACCAATATAAGATCAGTTTGAGAACTTTCCTCGTCTTCGTCCTCGTCCTCGTCCTCGTCCTCCCTGCCCCTCCTCCTCTCCCTTCCCCTCCTCCTCCCTCGCTCCCTCCCTCTCCTCCGCTGCCCTCTCCTCCTCCTCCTCCTCCTCCTCCCCCTCCCCTCACTTCGTGTGAATGACAAGTGCTGGACCAAACTTTGACTCTCGCACCTGGTGCAACAGCAAGCAGTCAGAGGCCAATGCGAGAAGAACTTGAAGGCGAAAAAAGCAAAAGTGTCTCAGATATGACAAGAGAAAACCAGCAGGGAGGGAGGGAGGGAGGGAGGGGGGAGAGGGAGGGAGGCAAGCGGATGGGAGAAAGGAGGGAGAGGCAAGGGGAGGGAGGGAAAGTCACCTTGATGTTTTTTATCTGTATGTAAGGGATGCTAACGTTGAAGTTCTCCGCAAGGTTGGCAAACCACACGATCCTCACGTTGGTAAGGAAGAAAGTTCCAAGGTTGCCCTGATCTGCGCTGAGGTTCCAAACACCAGGAATCTTGTTGAAGATCTGACAGAAACGTCAGGACGAGGACAAGCGCGCGTAACGGCAGCGAGCGAGGACGAGCGCACACAGGGCAAGCAAACAAGGGGGAGTGAGAGCAGTTGGAACCTTCTCCTCGGGGAGCAAGATCAGCTCCTTGTCCTTGATCACCGCTCCTCGCAGCTTCAGGTCGCGGTAGAGCTTGGAGGTGTCGTACGCTCTGAACACAGCTTGCACCGTTGTGAAGAGCCTGGGGCTCTCCTTGGCGAGGTTCGTGAAGATGAACTCGAAGCGGCTGCCGTTGAACTTGGTCAGCACGAAAAGAGCCTGCGTCTGGCCCTTGAGCCGCGAGTTCGCCGTGCGGATGTTGATGTTGACGATGCAGCCATAGCCGATGCTCAGGTTGGTCCTATGAGACGACTTTGATAGCCACATCATCCTGAGGTTGGTGACGTGCAGGATACCAGCCTCTCCGTTGTTCCCCTTCGTGTCCTCCACCGAGTCCATCGTGTCGATGGTGAACTCTCCTCTCCTCAGCTCCAGCTGAGCCGGTCGCACGTCGAACCTGATCTCGCGGTCGTACCAGTCTTCCTCCTTCTCCCTGTCCGTGACCGCCATGTTGCTCGAGGGGGGGGGGGGGGGGACTGCATTGCAGAGTCAGTGGGAGGAAGGTGCATCACACTTTGAGAGGATGCAGCAGGGCCAGGGGAGGAGAGAAAGGAGAGGGAGGGAGGGAGGGGAGGGAGGAGAGGGAGGAGAGGTTGGAATATTGCTTGTCAGGTCCTATCCCCCCTGGATTGTTCCTCCGCCTCCTCCGCCTCCTCCGCCTCCTCCGCCTCCCTCCTCTTCCCCCTCCTGGTAGACTGCTATTCCTCCCTTTCATCTATCCTCACCCTCACTCTCGTTCCCCTCCTCCTCGTCTCCCTCCTCTCCTTCCCCGCCTTCCCCGCCACACTGCCATGACTGCCCGCCACTGGTCCCGCCATGGGATCGTTATGGTCACCCATCTTTACTGGTCACATGGCCATTCAAAAACCTGCATCCCCGCTCAAGCCCAAAGGACATGGCGTGATGGAGGCGGCGAGGGAAGTAGAGGAAGCGCTGGCAACGCTGACGGCTCAGGTGAGGAGGAGGAGGAGGAGGAGGAGGAGGAGGAGGAGGAGGAGGAGGAGGAGGAGGAGGAGGATGAGGAGGATGGGGAGGAGGAGGAGGAGGAGGAGGATGATGATGAGGAGGGAAAGCGGGAGAAGGAGAAGAGGAGGGGAAAGAGGAGGGGGAGAGGGGAAGTGTGGAACAGTGGGAGAAGGAGCGGGTTGGGGAAGAGGGAGAGAGGCAAGGAATGGCAGACATAAGAAAGCAAGAGGCAACGGATGGTCACAAGAGACAATGCAAGGCATAATGTATGATAAAGCTTCACAGGTGAAGGGCCTGAAGAGCATTTCTGTCTCCGACCGAGACGGAGTCAAGTTCATCTCATATCGTGGGGGAGACGGCAAGAGCAGGTGATTGTATCAGGTTAGCTGCTACCAGGAACGCCTCCTCATGCCTTGGCTTGCAGCCAGGACAGCCTGGAAGCAGGGTTCGCGCTGACAGCAGACCAGGTAAGTTCTTGGAGGAGGAAGAGAGGAGGGCGAGGGGGAGGGGGGGGGGGAGGGAGGAGG